GACTGAGAAAGGGTGTAGGGAAGGCTCTTAACACTTTCACATTCTTATATTAGTTGATCTTTTATAACAAGTGCAAGGGTTTTTACATAAACTTTTTATTGGCATATAACACAGACAGAAAAATGCATAAATCATAAATATATTCTCACAGAGAGCACACCCATGGAACCAGCACCAGATAAAGAAATAGGACATTACCTGAACTTCTGAAGCCCCTCGGGCCTCCTTCCCATCACTAACCTCTGACCCTGACTTCTAACACTATAGATTAGTTTTACCTAATGAATCACACAGTATTTACCCTTTTTTGTATGGCTTCCTTCTCTCAACATTGTGTGCTCGTGTTTGCCTCATCCATGTCACTGTACATAGCTGCAATCCTGCATTCTCACTGCTGTGGCATTTTACATCATATAACCACACCATCATTTATTTATTCATTCTATTGTTGTTAGGCATTTAAACTGTTCTGAGTTTGGAGCTACTATGAATCGTGCTGTTTTGAAATTCTTTACATGTCTTTTGGTGCCCATGTGGACACATTTCTATTGAGTATTTAACTAGGGAAATTTTTGGGTCATATGGTATCAGTATGTTCAGCTTTAGGAGCATAAGTATTTTTTAATAACTTTTTAAAAAAAGAAATGGATATAAATCATTACTGTGTCATGTGCATTTAACCTACCTGTATGCACTTAGGTATCTTTATCTTAAATAAGTCATACCTTATTTCTTATTTGATATATGAGTCATCCTATCTATAAAATTTAGGCCCGGAGTCCTTAGTCAAGAATTGGGGCTCCTACAAGACCATAGCGTTCTTCAGAAAATCATTTTTAACATTTATGGCATTTACCAAGAAGGCAGGGTACTGCGTATGAGAAAGCACACCACAGGCCTCAGTCATGGATGAGCAGCCCAGTTCCCCCACGATGAGGCTAATGGCATCATCAACAATCACAGAGCACTTGAAGTGCCATGTGGGCATCACCTTTGTGTCTTAGGTTTTCATGGGTACATTTTGGACTTGGCTTGGCCGCCACTTCCCAGGTCTGTCATTGGCTGGGCAAGGTGGATCTGTCCACAGCTGGTCATCTTCACTTGACAGAGAAACTGCCCCCAAATCCCCTCCTAGCCATCTGGGCAAGCTTTTCTCTGGCCAGTCCTTCAAGTCCTCTGCTGGTCTGTCCATTACTGTCCACGTGGGCAAGGAATCCCACAGGTGGACTGTTATTTCTCCCAGGTGGGGCCATGGCTTCCAGCTTTTCAAGAGGATCAGTGAGGGGAGGTGCTGCTGTCCGGGATGCTCTGAGCTCTAGAGAGCTCGGGCTGAGGCCACAAGGCAGTGCAAGGCCACCCAGCCAGCCCTCATGGATGAAAGAGGCTCTGCGGTGGGGAACTCAACAGGGTCCTCCTCCTTGTGTTAATGCCTGCACCACCATTAGTGTTTCTCAGAGCTGTATGTCAAGATATTATTACCAATGATATATTGACAGTTATGGCTTACCAGAAGGCAGAATACAGTTGGTTAAAAATGGCCTGGGGGTCAGCCTGACTGGCTTGAAGTCCAGCTCTTCAGAATACTGTGTGTCCTGTGTCCCTGTGTCAGGGGTTATGGGGAGCACAGGAGATAATGCAAGTGCACACACAGTAGGCATTCAAGAAATGTTAGCTGCCATTAAGATATTATTATAATATGGTGATTAAGGCCATGGGCTTTGGGGAGATCCCTTGGCCAAATTCCAGCTTTATAATTCAATACTGCATAATGCAAAGTACTTTGCCTCAGTTTCCACACCTCAGTTGCCTCTTCTGTAAAATGGGTATCTTAATTGTATCTGCCTCACCAGATACTTGTAAGCATTACTGAGAGGATATATTAAGCATTTAGAACAGTGCCTGGCATAAAACTATGTACATTTTAACTATTGTCATTATCACAAACCAGTCTCACTCGAACCTTCCAAGTATAAATGGAGGTTCTTGTGATTAACACAAGAGTCATCTGGACACAGATATCCACAGATGAGTAACACAACACAAATTCACCCAGAAACTGCGGTGGGAAACTCAACAGGGTCCTCCTCCTTGTGTTAATGCCTGCACCACCATTAGTGTTTACCTCCTGGTAAGTCATAACTGTCAATTTCTGAGTTCATAATATGCTTCCTCAATCACCACCTGGTTGAAGGTGTAACAAATACCATATGGGAGACTGGGACACTTTTTAATAAAAAAGCAATCCCTCATATTCTAAGGATACAAAACCACTGGCTTTGAGTGTTTATTATTTTATTTTATCTTTAGAAGAACTCGCCTCAAAGTGTGCAACCTGCTGGGGGTCACCCAGTGTGGTGCTCGGGACTGGAGGTTCAGCTTGAGTCCCTACTCTGGACTCTTTACCAGGCACCATGTAAAAGTTCTGGCAGCTTCCCCAGGCTTTCCCGAGACACACTGGAAGTCAAATTATCCTTTAAAAATTAATTTTTCTGACACAGCCACTTTTGCTCACTCTTAACCAGTCTCTACCCTTTCCTTTACAAGGAAGTTAAGAAGTAGTTCAATCAATGCAACTCTTTGTAAATTCAAATTACCTCACCCATGGGCACCTGAGCATCCCCTCTGGAAAAGGCAAAGCATACCAGCTCTCCTCTCCTCGGAGGAGCATCGGCACAGCCTGGGGAATGAGCACAGCTTGGAAGCCTGTCCTAGCCTCGTCCTAGCACAAGAGCAATTGGTGCTTTTCCCAGTCCTGATCAGCCTAGGAGAATGTGACCTCAGTGCTACATAATAATCTCCTCTCAGTCATCTGCCTGCTACAATACCTTAAAGCCATTTTTCTCCCCTCTCTCCACCTCAGACAAACGTCAGCATCCAGGAGGTTGGGTAAGGGGAGGGTTTTTAGCCATAATACAGCTTCGGCTTTGTGAATTTCATGCCTTGTAGGCTCAAGCATTCACTTAAAAGCTAGTCCCTTTGACTCATCTGTTCTTTCTCTCTCCTTAGATCAGCTGTGATCAGCTGGAGCAGCTAATATGTCCCAGGTGGTCAATTTCATGGACTGAGGGGTGCAGAGCAAGGGTTATTAATGCATAATGAGCATTTATGGATATTTCTTGCTTTCAAAGTCTGACAGACAAGCCCTTCTCTTTCCACCTTTAGAAGGTAATGTAAACCTAATTGAGTCGGGAAATTACACTCTTAAAAATCAGAAAAGACTCTCTGGCTACCGAGTATCCATTATTAAGCATCCTTTCCCATACTTGAGCAAAGCACACAGCATTCCCCACCAAAACTCACAGCTCTTAGCAAAGGCTTTCCCGGGACTCAGGAGGCAAATGAGCAGCCCCTCCCACCAAGAGCATCTCCTTCTCTCTGGCCCCACCCCTTCCTGTCTTTTGTCAGTTGCTGGGAAAGAACAGTCAACATAAACTGAGTAGCAATTTTTTGGCCTCCGTGTGTAGATTCTCTGAAGGCTTCCCTTGAAAGCAACTAGAGGAAATAAGAAACTGACATGAAAAAAAAAGTCTAGGAGTAGACAACAGTAGATTAGGAGCAGGAACTGACAAAGAAGAAATCTCAGGGGACAGTGGCAAGTGTGTGGCTGGATCATCAGGGAGTACAAGGCAGGACCCTTACATTGGAAACTGGGAAAAGAAGAAAGCTAGTTTATGTCCATTTAAAGTTGAAAATCTGGATTGAAATATTACGTCCATCACAATGACATAGATGAAAACACTGAGGAGTAAGCAAAAGGGGCTATTTGCACAGGCAAAAGAAAGAAAAACATTCTGTATAATTCTGTTCAGAAATAGGAAAAATGAAGTGGTAGTGTTGAGCAAGCATATTTCAGTAATAAAACTATAAAGAAAAACAAGATGATTACCACAGGCCAGGATAGGGTTATGTGTAGTAAGCTTCTGGGGTGCTAGCAATGTTCTATTTTTTGACCTGGGTGGTTGGTGATACAGGTATTTACTGTATAATCATTTGCTATGCATTTCTACTTTATGGCCTTTTATTTCACAATAAAAATAAATTAAAAAAGAAACACTTCAAAGTACACAAGATTTCAAAGTTATATTCAGAAGCTTTAGCAGTTCTGTTAACAAAAGACTTGAGCCAATACCAGAATAATTCATGCAAGAAAAAGCAAATATAGTTATCTAAATAAAAGGCACTCCTGTCTCAGCCTCATCTTATGGTTTGTTTTGGTGTGGAGACTCAAAGTCGACATACACAAAACCAAAGCAGCAAACTGTATCTGGCCAGGATGGTAAATGCAGCACACCTATCGACCAGGTGCATCAGACCCTTTGTCAGCGCTCCCATCTCCTCGCTGCTGTCCTTTGCTAAAGAGCAGTCTTGCCCCTCGTGCAGCTCGAGCAGGAAGAACCCTGACCAGCATCGGATCTCAGATGGCCACCTCCAGGTCCCTTCGACAATGACTTTCCCATTCCCAGGAGTTGAGGAGGCCCACGTTTTTTCAGTGCAAAATGAGATGAGGAAACAGGTTAGTGTCCGCGTGGGAATGTCACCTCCTCTGAGCCACTTTCATTTTTCAATTAAAGCACCTGCCAAGGGCATTAAAAGATTAGCTCCCCTGGCTAGATCATGAACTTGAGAATGGAGCTGTGTCCTCCTTCCCCTATCTGGGATCCAGGGCTTTGCACGGCTTCTGGAATATGGTATATGCTCATTAAACACGTGCTAATAAATGAATGAATTAGTGAATGAAGAAATGAATATCTGAAGGTACAAACTAATGAATTTACAGCGTTGTTTACCATCCCATATTGTCACTGCTGTACAGTGCTTCTTGTATTAAGATTTTTTAGATCAGTTAAAATGATGGGCAATGACTGCCCTTTTAACAGATCACCAATATATCCTCCAGTTCTTAAAAAAAAGTTTCATGTCACGCATAAATTCAGAAGTGGAAAGGGCTGACAAGTTAATTATAGACACAAAGAGAAAGGACAAATGGACTATGAGGTAAGTGAGTCTAAATGTGCCTTCCCAGGAAGAGCATTTATTCATAAGCCTGCAAAGATTTACTGGGCGCGGCCAGGTTCAACTCTGTGCCAGGCTTGCGGGCAGGGTCCAGGTTCAGGGAAGCCACTGTTTCTGTGCTTGAGGAATTCAGTGATGGCTGCAAAGACAAGCATGTACTATCAAGACTAATCAGAGGTTCCCTCAGGACAGCAGGTGGAAGCTAGGGTCTAAACACTGCCGAACCTACCCCTTTTGGGAGAGGATGGGCAGAGACCTACTCACTCCACTAGACCCACCGGGAGCACAGTATGGGTAAGGTTGTGCCTGGCAAAGAAAGCCAGAGGAGGCCCCTAATTCTTTTCCTCCTGCACCTCCCACCATACTCCTTCAGCTGCAACAGGTAGGGGCTTCAGTCAGAAAGACCCATCTGGAACTTCCCCTTCCCTCCTCACCTCCCCCCAAGAAAAAAGAGGGATGTTCAGATGGCTAGAGAGGCAAGTTTCGGGTCAGCCTCCGCAAGCGGTGGGGCCTAAGAACGGAAGGCCGGGCCTCCCGGGCACCAGAGTGTGCTTTTGGTCTCTTTTGTCGTTCAGTCAAACAATATTTATTGGCTGCCTTCTAGGTGCGGGCATTGAATGCGGCAACCCTCCTGGGACTGGCCCATTCTAAGTGACCGAAGCCTGGAACCCGAACCCGGGGTGTGGGTCTCCCTGCAGTTTCTGCTTCACTTGGCGGTGATGGGTCTGCTGGTCCCCAACTGAACCTGGGCCTTTCAAAGACTCGAGGCCCCTCTAGTAAGTTTTCAAGCCCGAACCTCCCCCGACCCGACCCGCCCCCCCCCCCACACTGTGGGAAGAAACGCCACCCCAGTATTTCTAGGGGAAAACGGCTGACCAGTTGAATCTGGGAATGCCAGGCAGAAATACGGCATGGCCACCTCCGCAGGGGGAGGGGAATGTTCTGGAGGGTTTATCCAGGTTTGTTTCCCGAACTCCGCCTTTTCTTCAAACCGCATGAGAGAGGTAAGACCTGACCGCAGATCAAGTACGAAACGTGGAAAACTCGCTGTTTCGGTTGCTGTTTTTCAAGTTAGTCGCGCCCGTCCCCGGGGAACCCGCGCCCACCCCGCCTCCCTCCTCGGTGCTCCTGCTGCTCTCCGCCGCGCTGCGCCTTGCTGGAACCGCGCTGGGATCTCCCGGCGTGCGGGCTGCCCGGCGCCCCGCGGCCCTGGCGGGTTGACAGAGCGCGTCCGCGGCGAGGGCACCCAGCGCCCCTCCTTCCTCGCGGACGGGTAGGTGCGCCCCGCCGCCGGCTGGCCGGGGAGCGCAGCGTGGGCAAGCGGCTGCCCCGCGCCCGGCGCACCTGGCCGCGCCCGGCGGCCCCGGCTCCGGCCCGGCTCCCGAAGCGCCGACTCCGAGAGCGCCCCAGCCCCCAGGTCCGCTCCGCGCGCGCCCAGGCTGCTCTTACCCGGGAAATGGCGAGAGGCTGCTCGAAGTCCTTGCCTCCCACGAGGCGGAAGCCCCACGGCCCGGGGCCCTGGAGGACTATCTGCTGGGTGGTCATGGCGCGGCGACGGCTGGCGGCACCCGCGGGGACGGACGGGCAGGACTCGGCGCGGCGCGCTGGGCTCCGCGGCAGCTGCCGAAGAAAGAGGGCGGTGCGCGGCGGGGCGGCTCCGCCCAGACCGCGTCGCAGCCCCGGCCCCGCCCGGCCCCCGCCCCCGCAGCCGCTCCCCGCGCGGCGCCGGCCGAGGGTCCCGGCTGGGTCGGCCCAAGAGATCCCGGGTCGGGTCTGGGGCTCCGGTCCTCCGCAGCTCCGCCCGGCCCCAAGCACTCCCTCCCCGCGGCCCGCCCCTGCTCCCGGCGCCGCCGCGGCCGCCAGGTGAGAGGGAAGCAGGTTCCGATCGACAGCGGGGAAGACGAACGCGGGCTGGGCGCTTTTTAGCGTGCTGTGCAAAGTCAAGCCTCTGAGGTCAGCTTCATTTTCACATTTGCTTTTCGTAAACGATAATAATATTTAAAAGGTGCTTTCAAATGGTCTGATTTGATGCTGTGAAGCAGTCAGGGCATTTATCCCATTTTACAGATGAAGTAACTGAGGCAACCTGAAGTTGGAGAACTTTGCCCCGGGCCACACAGCTCTTTGTAACTTAGTGTACCACTGCCCAGCTCCCTGTGTTAGAGAAACCATTCTGGAACTTTTCTAACGTAACAAGACCACCGCACGGTGTTGGATTTGGATTTCAGGGCCTTCCTAGTAAACTTTCTTCCAGGCTGGAATTCGCTGTAGCTCTTCACCTTCCCAACAGTTCAGGCCTCAAGTCTGCGGCAGGCCAAGGGCTGAAGGCAAGGACAGGACACTGGGTTGGGCACACAACCTGAGTTCCCAGCCTGCCACTAGCCTTTTAACTGGGCTCCCTGCCACACTCGCTTTGGAGGGCATTCTCCCCGCTGGACCAGATCATGTCTCATGCTATCCACTGCGTCTGCGCTTCTCTTCCAGCAAAGCCAAAATCCTTAAATGCTTATAGGGCCACCCACAGAATGGCCCCGACTCTCTCTGACCTCATCTCCTGCTGCCCCATCACTGGCCTCCTTGCTCCTGTCTCAGGGCCTTGCACAGCAGGGCCTCTGTCTGGAATGCTGCCCTCCAAGCAGTCCCATGGCTCTCTCTTTGTTCAAATATCATCACCTCAGTGAGGCCATCTCTGAACTCTGAAACCTCCTCTCTGGATAGCCCTGTCGCCTTCCCCTGCTTTATTTTCTATTTTTCACGATCTGACATACTCAGTATTTTACTTATTTGTCTTACTCCTACCCCTAACCATTAGTTCCGGGGGGAGTAGGAGTTTTTAATCTGTTTTGATCACTGCTATATCCTAGTGCCTGGAATAGTGGGTGACACGTTGTATTGACCACTTCCCCTCTCTGGGGCCCAGGTTCTTCATAGTTTTCTTGGTATTCATTCATTCTGGCACCTGGGCCCCAGCATTTAACTCACTGCATTTGTTAAAGCATGGCTCTGTCTCCATGTGGTACTGGCCTACCTACCAAGGAGCACTGTGTACAGATTTGCACATAAAAGGATCATCTTCCTTGTCTAATTGTGTCACAGCACAAATGCCAGTGTTTGGGAAGGCTTTATTGTTTTTAGAAATCAAAGTGGATTTATGTTACCTTTACATCCCTCTCACACCCTTGCATTCTGATATTCTTTCTTGAATCTGAGCACAAGGGATGGAGTTACAGCCAGGAACCAGCCACCTACTTCATCAAAGCCAAAAACCACCTTCTCTGATTAAGATTCTGTTGACTAGAAAACATGCTGGTGTTTCAGGTCCCTGCAGAATTTCAGGGCATCATCAGATTCTGAGTCTGCCCTTAACACTTGTAGTAGTTTTGAAACTTTGTTTCCTAGGAGGAGAAAAAGGTTGAAAAGCACAGACAGCATCAGGGCTCCCCAAGGGTGCAAACTGTCTCTCATTCATCCCCAGGTGTCCTGCTAGCGTGGACCTGATACATTGTAGGTGCCAATAAGTGTTTATTCTATACAGTATTCCTTACAGATATAGGACACTACTACTTTTGTGAGGGCTTGTGAGTCCTCAGTTGCTTCATTTAGTTGCTAAATGTTCTCCATGGCTCTACATACCCAGAGCTATAAAACTGTCGACACTTTGACCGAGTCATCCCCTTTCTAGGTACTGATTCCAAGGACATAATTTAAAAGAAGTAAAAAGCTATGTGTACAAAATATTTATAGCTGCATTATTTATAATAATAAAAGACTGGAATCAACCAGCAACAGTAAGTGGCTAAATAGGGTATGGCCATATGAGGGAGTAGTATGCAGCATAAAAATGATAAGCATGAAGACTATGAGGGGGCAGGGAAATGTTTCCAAAACATGTGAAAAAGAGTGGAACAAAATTATTTGTACACCAAATATTATTGTAAACAAAATCATTTGTAAATTTTATGTTAAAAAAATAAAAACTATGTCTACTGATAGCTAAAAATTAGGAGAAAGTACAAAAACAAACTTTGTATTGTGAGATGGAATTGGGAACTTTTTCTTTTTATAATTTCCCCTAATGGTGGTGTAAAGTTTTCAAAATAAAAATCAATAAAATGGTCTCATTTCCTGGTATGGAGACTAAATGCTAGTCTTTCTTGGGGGTACAGACCTCATCTTCTCTTTGAACTCCCTTCCCTTACTCCAGAAACTGGCTCTGAGCTGGGCACCCAGTATGTACTCAGAAAATACCCAGTGACGGATTGACAGCTCTGACTCCCAAACACAGCGATCTTGTCTTATCTTAAACACCGTTACTTATTTATCTACTCTCTGCTTCCCTCAGACCCTTGACTCCTGCTGAGTGCTAGTTCAGGCGCCTTAAGCAACCTCTCAGAACTTCACTTGCCTTACTATTATTATTATTATGAATTCCATAGAAGTTTGTTGACCTGAATGAACAGCCTCCATTAAATAACTGTGTATGGTGCGTGCGTGCCTGCGTGTGTGTGTGTGTGTGTGTGTGTGTGTGTGTACGTTTGTGTAAGTGCATGCAGGAGAATGCCAGAGAAATGAAAACAAGGAGGGCAGGCACAGGACAGGAGTAGAGGCTAGCTGGTCTTTTCAGCTCAGTCCAGTTTTGCACTATGGACAGATTGGGAGCTGTTTGCTGGCACTGTCCCAGTCTGGCTGGCTTCTGCAGAGCGGGCAGCCCCTACACGTGGGGGGCCATTGTCAGAACCCTACAGAGCTGCTACGTGGAGATTTTGCTTCCTGGAACAACAGCTCCCTTTCTTAAGGACAGTGAGTCTAGCACAGTGCTAGACTTTATGGTTTTATTTACTGTCCAGGACAATTCCTGGACTGGCCCAGGAGACCGCAGAGGTCCCGTTCCTGGAGAGCGACTCCAGGACCCCTCCTCTGGGGCCGAGCATTTCTGTCTATGGCCTGAGAGGAAACGTACATAGGTGACTCTCAGACTCTACCCCTCCGTGGGAACCTGAGGCTGGCTCTATCCAGGGGCGAGAGAAGCCCGTAGCTTTAGTCCTTCGGCCGCCCCGCACGGAAGGCAGCGGCTCCGCCCTCCCGGAACCGGCGCACCTGCCCAGGCGCCTTGGTCCAATGACATCAGAGCATCTTGCTTTTTTTTTTTACTCTAAAAAGAGCCGAAACCCAATCCCAGAGGCTCGAAAATCAAAGGCATCTTTTCCCAACTGGGCCTATCCCGCCTGCCTAGTCCCCGTTACCCGCAACCCCTCTCCCAGGGTCAGCGCGTTCTTTACTGGGATCCCCGCGAGGCTCGTCCCCGCGCTGCTCCAGGACAGCCAGCGGCGGGATTGGCTGCGGGAGGCGCCCGCAGCTGCGCCAGGGACTGGGATCTCAACTCTTGCCCTTCTCCCGCTTCCGGCCCCACCCCGGGGGAAATCCTGAAGTGGCCACCCGGGACTGGGTGCCTCTCAGATTCCAGTCGGCATGGAGCATGCTCCGTGGCGCGCTGCACCTGGCTGGAGTCCACTCAGGGCTAGAAGGGGTGTGGACGGATGAGCTGGCCTGTGCGAGGCTGGCCTTGCATCTAGCAGACCAGCAGCTATTTTGGCTCCCTACCTCCTGGCTCCCAGGACAGGTGATGCAAAAATAATCAAGACACAGAAAGGCTTGACCATTACCGTTTCTCAAGCATCCATGAATTTTAAAAGAAGACATTCCAAAACAGGATCGTAGATAAATGTTAATATGGGAGAAGTTAAGGCAAAAACACCAATGCCATGTAATAATGTTCACAAGATAATTAGCAGAGTTGTAAAAAATGTAATTTATCTGCTAATGGGACCTGAATTTAAAGTTGTATGATGAACACATTTCATTGTCATTATTGGATTTCTATATCATCCCACCTAGAGTCTAAATATGAGTCTTTAGCTCACATGGAACCACCTCTTAGCCCCCTCCCGAAAGAGGAAAGGTGACTTGGAGTCAGTTACCCAACAGACTCAGGCAATAAACATTGTCCTCATTACTAAACAATGACTCTGAGTCAGACTGTGTGCTAGGAACTTGACATATATTGTTGCATTTCCTCAGGACAAGAGTCCAGTGGAGTGTCATGCCGCCATTAGTAATAATGACAAGTGGAAGCTGAGGCACTTATGCACCGCTCAGATGCCCGTGCATGCAAGCACCTGTAGTTGTTGAGGGGAGGACTGTCTTCAGGTTTTCGCCCCTTCAGGCACTGCCTCCTCTTCAAAGGGCAAACCTGCCCAAGAACACACCTTTCCCTGGGCTGCCTGCACTCAGTGACTGACCTGGGTGGGAATAATGGAATCGCCATTTTAATCCAACATGGGACAACTCTGATGGGTCATTTTGGCTCCAGAGCTTCCTATAGAATGGGCCAAGGTGGTCAACTTCTCCTTCTGCCCAATCCAGCTCCCCC